AGATACAGGCAAATAGTATATAAACATTTTATATAAATGTTATACTATATTTACAATTTTTTAATGGAAGGACAAACAAAAAACTAAATGACTACATTTAGGGGGAAGGAAAGAACAAGGTAGAGGTAAGAGGGCCAGAAACTAGACTCCTCTGAATGTACCTTGTTCTATACATAAAGTTTTAAAACATAAAATAAATTTAAACCAAAAAACTTTTTAAAAGTTATTCCTCAAAATCAAAATCAAACACAATAACCTGTGTATTGAGTTTAACCACACAGAGAAGTATTTAAGTAACTTTAAAACACAGTAATTAGACTGTACATCCTTGGTGAAATACATCCTAAGGACAAAAAGAAGTACAAAGAAATCTTAAACTTTGCTTTCAATATGATTGCTTTCAATAATCATATTGTTAGTAATGCTATTATTCTGAAATTATATAATGTATGGGGTATAATAAAGCTTAAGTATAAGAGAAAAGAGACACAAATACAATTTTAAAATGTTAAATAAAAACTCTACAGTATTATTTGAAAGTATCAGTATAAATTTATCATGTACTTTCTGTTAAAAAAAAGTACTTTCTCACTCTGTCCATGAAATTCAGGCCTAAAAATGACTAACCTCATATCAGTAGGCTTAGTATTCAGATAGTGGATTTCTAAACATCATTTCCAACCAAAAGGAACCAGTGTTCCCTAGAAAAATTGATGATTCAAGGTTTGAAGCAGAATTTTATGAAATGAGCTTAGATTATACTAGAAAGCAAGGAAGCCATCAGAGACCACTAGAGTAATGTCAAACACACTCAGGAGTGACCTTGGAGAGGCTCCCACTATCAAAGACAGAACAGTTTGAGCCCCAACAAGAATAATAACTGCAATGGATTGAAACACATGAAACATGTTAAAAATCCATGAGTTCATAATGATACTTAAAAAAAACACAAAAAACCTCATTGGTCATCTTTGGAGGATGCTTGGGAATCAACTCATTATCCTAAAAAGCAATCAAGAAAGGAGAACAACCAAGTATTTATCCTGTCTTTCTCACATACACTGTATACGAAAGTAACTCAAGTAGTCCAAAAGCCAAAGAGGAAGTTTCTGTTTATAAAGTATCCCAGCTGAGAAATGAAGAATAACAGAATCAGAATATCACTATTTTGCAAACCACTAATAGAATTATAGATCTCGGAAATGATCATCAATGGCTGCTAAAACTATAAAGAGTGACAATTAGATATCATATGCCTATGCAGTCATGTGCCACATAATGTTTTGGTCAGCGACAGACTGCATATATGATGGTGGTCCCATAAGATTTGTACCATATGGCCTAGGTGTGCAGTAGGCTATACCATCTAGGTTTGTGTAAGTACACTCCATGATATTCACAGGACAATGCAATTGCCTAACAATGCCTTTCTCAGAATGTATCCTTGTCATTATGCAAAGCATGACCGTATTCTTTCAAAAAAATCAAAAAAGAAGACAGGAAGATAGTAAATAACTCCACAGAGATGTAATCAGCAAAATAAAGACTATGGGAAACTCTACAGGGCAAATACATTACAAGAAAAAAGGGAGGGGAAAGAAAGGAGAAACTATAAATTAAAAGAAACAAGAGACATCAATTGAATGCAATTCATGAATCTTGATCTGAACCAAGTACAAAAAAATCATGAAACGCTCAGAGTAATTTGAACATTATTTGGATATTTGATGATATTGAGGAAGTGATAAAGGTATGGTGTTTCTATATTTTGAAAGAGTCTTTACTTCATAGAGATATATATGGAAATATTTATAAATGAAACCATGCAGTCTGGGATTTGCTTCAAGGTAACCCAGCTGGGTGTGCAGTCATAAATAAAATAAGACTATCCATGAGTTGATAATTCTTGAAGCTGAGTGATGGGTATGTGGCATTCATTACACTATTCTATATTTCTATATAGGTAAATATATAGATACTATAAATTTCTATATAACTGAAATTTTCCGTAATAAAAAGTTAGGGGGAAAAAAAGCTAAAATTTTAGTCTGGGTAATTGAGAGACCGGTTCAAACATGCTCTGTTTTTAACAACCCATAAAGGATACCAAGGATAGGCAAGCTTTCAGGTTCTGAGTTCCCACTAGGATCTATCTCAGGGCCAGCTTCCTACACTATAGAAAATCTTTAATGAGAACGACAAAAGAAAACATGAAATGGAGGCAAACACAAACCATCCCAGGAATTTCTCCTCTGATTATCCTATAGGGTTTAGTTTCTAAAAAAAAAAAAAAAGACAATCAACTTTCCAAAGAGATTAAAGATTGCTTGTTCCGCAAACTGACTGAAATTAAACAGTGTGACCAGCAACAAAGAATAATGCTCTGTATTCAGACAGTATTTTAACTTTTCAAGGTTCTGTAATATACTTATATGTATACATCACTTACATCACTTGATCCTAACAATAACACTGTAAAATGAACCGGGAAAAAATTCACTTCCTGGAGGAAACCAACACAAAGAAGTTACAAAACTAGTTAGTGGCAGAATGCAAGTCTTCTATCCCTATTTTAGAGCTTTTTCCATTAAACTGTTCCCTTCCTATTCAACTGGGTTTAATTATTCAGCATAGGAGAAAAGGCTCCTCAGATCTCTTTTATTACCAATAGAATCACAAATACCCAATAACGTGTGGGCTGGTAAAGACAGTTACTGACAATTTGTCGTCCAAGCTGGACAGCTCCCAAAAATTTACTTAGCAATTTGGACAGCTCAAAATGGTTTGAGAAACAGGAATGAGAAAATTTTTTGATCTATCAAAAGCCACTCATACTCAGGGGAAAAAGAGAAATATCAAATTAAGAACTTAAAAAATTTAGTGTGTGTGTTTGTATATCGATGTGCATGTCTTGGAAGGTAGAGAAATAAATATACTAGCAAAGATCATCTTTTCCAATTTAATAAACTGACACATCTCATTTATTTAAACATATCCCAATTTCATTAAAAGTATAAGATTAGGAATCCTCTATAAACAATAAAAGAACATACAACTTGTTGATTGTGAATAATCAAATTTGAAATAACCCAAATTCTGTAATTTTTCTCATCTGTGCAGCCTGAGCTCACTGCCATATACAGAGTTCCAAGGACTTATTTTGACTCACCAAACATCAGTACAGGAATGAACCCCAGGCAACCCTGAAGCTTGGGCCTGCTGAAAGATGCTACACCTAGGAAAATGTCTTTCAATTCAGTCCCACAGTGAACACTCAAGAATGTGCTGGGATTACTTGCTCCTGGTAAAAACTGGCAGACAAGTATCCAAAGTTTCTGGATCAGAGGTGGAGGGTGTCATCAACAGATATGAGTCCTTGTAAGGACCCAAGAATCCTTAGTTCCATCTGAAAGTATGTTTTGCTGACTGCTGAGTTTCCATGTCCTTTAGTACTACAGAAACTTTATACTCTCAAACCGTCAGATGATTCTGTCAGTGGCATCACTGTCCTGATATGACAACCATGCAACCATGCAACAACTATCCCCAACATTAATTACTTCAAATCACTAGAGCCTTCTCTTAGAAAGTATTACCCAGTTAGGTGCTCTTCCTAGAATGTGTGAAGTTCAAACAAAGGCAACCTCATTGCCAATAAAATATCTAGACTACAAGGGCATGTTTGAGAAGAGGGTAGAGACAGCTTAACCATGACATCTTTAGCAATGGCCTAAAGGCCTACAACTAGAGGTGCAAGTTCATTTGGAACAAATACTTCACCTTTCTAGTACTTTCTCTCTAGGATCATTTAGAAATGGAATTTGGAATAGAATTAACATTTGGAGATCACCTATGGTGTGTCATGCATTGTGCTAGCTACTTTATAAATCTCTCATTTAATCCTAAGAGCCCTTTGAGGGTATTTTTATTATTACTGCCTTTTCACAAATGAAGAAACCAAGGCCCAGATGTGTTAAGTGACTTAAGTCCAAAGTCTTAAAGCTACTACACGACAGAGCCAAAAGCTGAACCCAAATCAGTACAAATATCTTTATGACTTGCTTCTTATGACCCTATTTGCTTTCCAAAGGAGTTGTACTGACTTATAATGATACTAGAAACAAAAGTATTCCTACTTCCTACTTGAGAGGTCAAGAACAGATAAGTCACACAACAAAAACTTTTTCATTGCTTGGGAGTTATTTTTCTTAAATTTATATGAACATGGTAAGACCAGGAAATCATTTTAAGTATTTAAGAAAATTCAAATACTGGGCCAGCCCAGCAACATAGTGGTTAAGTTCACATGCTCCATTTCAGCAGCTTAGGGTTCAAGGATTCATATCCCAAGTGAGGACCTACACACCACTCTTCAAGCCATGCTGTGAAACCCAAAACAAATGCCACATCCCACATACAAAATAGAGGAAGACCAGCACAGACGTCAGCTCAGCAACAATCTTCCTCAAGCAACAAGAAGAAGATTGGCAACAGATGTAGCTCAGGGCCAATCTTCCTCACCAAAAATAAAATAAAGTAAACTAAAATTCAAATACTGTAACAGCATAAGGCTAAACAAAAGAATTCATTTTTCAAAACCATGTTACCTTCAATACCTAATGACAATTATGATTATGATCATTATATTCTGCTCTTTATCTAAAGTTTTACTAACAGTCAAATAACAGAAAAGATGTAATCAGATCATAACTTCGACAACTTTAAATTTCTAAATGGCTATTATCTCCCATGTTCCAGTGTTTCAAATTTCTTTATAAAAGTATAATGTCTAAAAAATAAGTCGAGTAACATTCCCCAAACATGAATTCTTCAATCTATTACAGTTTGAACCTAAATATGTAACTTTTTAATGTACAAGATGAAATTAAAAATAACATATTCTTTCCCTGTTGTTTATCAGACACATTCCTTGGATTAGTTAACAGGGCAATATTAAGAATCATTTTCTAAAATATATCAAAGAATAAATCAAGTCTTACCTCCATCGCTAACGCTGCTGTCTGTTGGTCATAATGATTCAGAAGATTAGGCATGAAGGTAGTATTATAAGGCAAATCTTGGCACATCCTCAAGGTAATAGGTTCACAAGAAAACAAACTGTGTCCACCTATATGCTCCACAAACATAGTCAAGGGCCAAAGACAGAAGACAATCCAACTCATAGCCATCCTTTCTGGATCTGAATGAGATCTGGATGATCAGGCCTACTCAATACGTACTTTAGATCTTTAGACACCTGCAGGTCTCAGCTTGAAAGTACTTCTTCTATATCTTACTGTTAAGTTCTTCAAACAGTTAAATATTCTTTGCACCGTCAGAGGTTTGTTAGCTTGGTCCCACAAAAGGCATTTGTTTTGGGTTTCACAATATGGGAAAATGACATCATCTTGTCTCTTCTTTTCATTTTATTACATAGGGCACGTTTGGCCAAGATATCAAGTTGATCAACCACATTCCCAAACAACAGATTCCATCTTTGGAGGAGAGCTATTTCTTCCTTTGACTGAAATATCTGAAAAGCATTTTTTAAAAAATGGGAGAAATTAGTCATTTCCTCTCAAACTATTGCAGAGTTGATATTAAAATCTTTGATAAACTCAGTAACGTTGCAGGATACGAAATCAGTATACAAAAATCTGTTGTGCTTCTATACACTAACAACAAACTATCAGAAAAAGAAAAGAAAACAATCTTTGATAAGAGATATCATACAGACCTAACAGATAAAATACAAGGGTGTTCCACAAAGATATAGTATAGCTTTTCTATTTTATCATTTATGCGATAGATATACTAAAACAATTTTTGAACAGCATTTAAAGGCAAATTTTCTTCCCTCAGTTGTTTATATAACATATGGTTTAATTTCTTGTCTATGATGGCAATTTTTCATTTGTCATGATATAATTCATCCATTTTGAAAAATTCTTATCCTGTTGTCCTAAATTTTATTTAAATATCTGCCATATTTATAATCTAAGCTATTGAATTTAAAATTTACTAAATGTGTTTTAAACATTAATAGCACATTTTTACATTAACTGATTTGGCAGAAGGTTTCTGTGAAGGAGGTGAAATACAAATAAATCTAAAGATATGGATTCAGCCTCTTACTAGCTGGGTGAATGGAAACATCACTTAACTTCTCTGAACTCAGAATTTTTCTTCCTGAAAATACTACTTCTCTAACAAGGATGACATATGAGTGAATTATGAGATAATGTATGTATAAGTACTCTATAAATGGTAAAGCGGCATCAAACATTTGGTAGCTTTATTATTGAATTACAGATGATAGAAAGGCAACCTCTATCAACCAATATTAAACTGGCAAACAGAAGTCTGTAAAAGTAATATCAGGAAATTTCCCCAACATTACATCGTCTTTTTAGATAGCACAAAAATTTAGTGCCATTGATGAAGAAACATTTAACCAACAAATATTTCATTATACACAGCCAGGCTGCAGAGAATAGAAATCATCGCTAGCAAGTAACAGCAGGAATAGGAATGATTCTGTTACAGTTTCCACTAAGCTACAGAATCTTTGACTTGCTCCTACTTTCTGGGGGCAAAAATATGTACCCCATATGGAGCAGAGAGGGTGTGGGTAGAGTGGAATGGTAGGCCTGGCAGGAAAAGAGCATATTCTAAGCTATCATACTTTTATTTGGTTTAGTAATGATGTTAAATTTGCTTTTATTTCATTTTGTTTCATATGTACTGAATGTTTGTGTGTTTGTTGTAGACAGCAGAGACTGGAAAAACATGGGAAATTCAGGTTCAGAAATTCTCAGAGACCCAGGTTAATAAGACAACTTAAATACTATGGCCCATGACAGCTTAGACCTTGAGACCTGGAACTGGTTTAGCTTAAGCAGGAAAAGAAACTGTCCTTTGTGCACTGATTATCAATGATTGGGAATCTCTGCATCCCAAGCTTTAGTTACCAGGCAGAAAAAAAACTATTTGGAGAAAGTAAAGCAATGGCTGAATCTTCCCAATTTCTCCTCCTAGTAGACGGTCTTGAGTAGAGGAAAGGAAAAGGAAAGTCTGTGGCCTCTAGAATTAGGAACACTGAAGTTATGAGCAATCCCTAGCCCAAATGCTTAATCCCCCTATACAGAAATATCTAAATCAGAAATCTCTGCAAAAGCTCCTTGGCCTGCCGTATTTTTCTCCTCCTTCAAGCTGGCCCCAGAAATGTGATGTCTGGCTATAGAAAACTGATATTAAACACAGTCGTTGATATTTAAGCTTAATTACCATGCAGCAAAGTAACAATTACGCATATCATTAAATGTGTCAACTGCTCTTGAAAGCTTTATTTGGTTACAGTAGTAAAATACCCATGTAAGTTTAGCCTTTGTAGTTTGTTGCTTATACAGCATGTTCATTTGCTTGCAACTAAAAAAATTAAAGGGAATATTGCTCTCTATTGACTATGTATATAATAAGAAGAAGTTCAAAAATTTCATTTAGACTAATGTACTTTCCAAGCAGTTATGGGTTTCAAATTTATGGTTCAAAGAAGACTACCACAGAAAACTTCTGGAAGAAACTGAGCAATACCTCACTTGGTTTTTAAAACTTAATGAGACACCCCCCTTATACTTCTGCCTACTCCATCTATTTTACCTGATTTCCTCTCAATTATTCCTTTTGCCTCATTTCAAGTGAAGCATCCCACCATCTTATAAAAATGCTTCCTTTATGTGCTACAACATCCACATTACCATATATCAAAACACTTTTGTAAAATCTGTATGTTAGGCTGGGGTAGGACAATAATCTTAATATACCAAGGTTGTAGTTTATGATTATTAAAATAAATAAGAAAAAAAAAAAACAGTGGAATGCAGTGAGACAAAAAGAAAACATGAACAGTAAAAATCTTAAAGAATTTATATTTCCCCCAAATCAGAAGTTCTCTAATTTTAATACACAGCAGATTCATGGATCCCCCCACAGGTCTAAGAAATCTGAATCTCTGGAGAATGATACGCATTCTAATGATTACCTCAGGTACGGTTACAAGCAGTTCATAAGTCATGTTTTGAGAAATGCTATCCTAAAACAGAATAATTTAAAAGAGTACAGGCATATTTGTATATAATTATATGCTTAGCAAAAGTAATATATAAAATGAATTTTAGAAATAAAAGCAGATAAAGAATAACACTTTAACAGAAAAATGGGAAAAGGACATAAATTTACAAAAGAAATACAAATAGCCAACACATGAAAAGATATTCAACTTTACAGATAATAAAAAATGCAAATAAGCGATAACATCATATTGGCCAATCAGATGGGCAAAATAATAATGAGAGAATAGTACAGGAGAGGGTGCAGGGAAAAGAACATTTTCAACATTCCAACATTTTCAAATACTATTGGTAGGAATGTATCCTAGTTGGTATTTTAAAAATGGCTACTTACATCAAAAGCCCTTAAAATGCGCACAATGTGATTCAGCAAATCTATAATTTATTCTAAGTAAACACACAAGTACAAATGACGCATAATCAAAATGTTAGTATAACACTTTATAAAATAAAAAACTTGAAACAACCTAAAAGTCTACCAACAAGGGATTCGTTAAACTATGGTACAACCACAGGATATTATATAGTCATATTGTATAGTCACTAAAAATAACAAGTCTGTATTTATTGACATGGTAAGGGAGAAACAGTAAATAAAAAATAAAAGTTTACAAAACAGCATATGTGTCTCATTTTTGTCAAAAATATAATTGCTCTGAGATTTTACAAAAGAACCTATGGTACTTTATTTTATGTGTGGAATAATTAACTCTGCTAAATCTATGAATGTGTGCTGACTAGCTGACAAGAATAAATACTAGCTGAATCACTGATTTATTGGCTGCTAATTAAGCAACAAGCTAAGGGACACACTACTGCCTTATTGTAGGTAGCAAGAAGAGCAAAAAAGTGATGACCAATGTAGTACGAGTCAAAAACTGATTTACAATATTGAAAAATATCAGATCACCTATCACCTAACTCGAATGGTATGCACACTTAAAAAAAATTTTTGATATATATTCCAAATCGTTTTTGAGTAACATAATGCAATTTCTTCTTCTAATTAGGATCATGTGAGTGTGCACAGCAAAGTCATTTTTCCTAAGGTAGCACCATTCATGGAAAAGCTGTAAGTTGAAGTTCCAGACATGTAAGACGCGGAGAAGACTCCAGATCCAAAGAGATCCTGCCAAAATAATACCAATTCATTAAATAAAGGTTAACAGTCCTTTTGGCATGCTGACTGATATTATATTTTTTACTATAGGAATCTTCAGAATCTCAACTAAATAAAGGGTTAACACAACTAGAGTGAACAGCTTCATGGTCCAGGGCCCAGCAAAAAGTGAGTGATATGGCAATAGTTACTCATGCCCCACCTGTGGGAAAAGAGGCACATTCATTTCTCCATAGAGCAATATAAGATATTTGGAAAACTGATTTCAGATTAAGTTACTTTATTATTATTTCATCAGAAAACAAAAAGAACTAGATAATTTAAACCTCCATTTTAATTTTTATGAATGTGTAACATCAAGAATCTGATGTTCCCCAATTACCAGTTTTCTTTTGATGGTAAAAAGTAAAAGCCCTTAAAATAAAATAAGCTGAGTATTTGTCCTGAAGGACAGCAATAAACGGGAAGGGATGCAATCTTAGAAGACTGTCTTTCCAGGCTGGCTGTAAAGCCAGACCCAAAGAACTCAGGCGGGAAAAGCAGGAAGTGGCAAGTGTGAAGAAGAAAGCAGGCTGAATCCCAGAAGAAACAACGACAAAAGTGGGCTTGGAGGGCTTGTCAAGAGGGTCCTGCAACAAAAGATTATGTTCAGCAATTCTATTCGAATTCACACCCTCTGTACAGAAAGTGATCTGTTTCATCATTCTCAAATTAGATTTAATTTTCTTGACACCCTATAATGTAGACAACATTCTGCATTTCCAATTCAGAAATACCATCTAACGGTTGCCTCACACACAGTAGCTACAGTGAGAACAAGAGAGATATTCTTTGTTTTCTTTCAGAGTAGTCTTCTAAGAATGAATTGCAAGGATTAGCAATGACTGCCTCTAAATAACAGTTTCTTCTCTCAAGGAAATTACTGTCTTGTTAGAGAGACAAAATATACACTCAGAGCATACTCACTGCTCTAAGTGTTACATTCCTTTTCCCAAAACCTGTCAGGTCTTTGGCCTTTTGTTTTCCACATATTATTTAAAAAAAAAAAAAATCACTGTCAAACTATTGTCTCCTAGTTGCTAAAAGAAAGTTTATATAGCTTCATATTTAATTCATAAGGCCTAGATTTCTATTAATCTCAGAGTGGGTATCCCTTTTCTGATCCTTCCTACTTCATCTCTTTAATTTTTAAAATCTATCTTGTCATCTACTGATTACAACAAATAGCCTAATCTTCTAATATACTGAGGGATAGTGCTTTAAAAAAAAGCAAACAGGAAAAACAAACACATCTGGGTTCAAAATTAAAATAAACAGTAGGCATCAAAATTGAATTCATTTTAAAAATTAGAAATTACTTTTAAGACTAAAGAAAGCAGATATTTTAAAACTGACCTGAAAACAAAATTGGAAAGTTAAAAGATGGCCAGATTCTGGACTGAAAAAAAACCAGGTTGAAATTCCAGCCCAGCTTCCCTTTCCAATTAACATCTGTTCATCAGAAAATTGTCTAATATCAAGGCCCTGATTTTGCCCTTAGCAAGGCTGTATGGTTTGTATGCTTTGACTAGAAAATTATTTCTGTGAGATAAAACTTATGGACCAAGATTTGGGTTTTTTTTTTTTAAGCCTACAAGCCTAGTTATATTCATCTTAAACTTCACCAGCAATGCATTCCTTGGATCTACCAAAACTGTCAATAGTTCTCAGCATAATGAATTGGAAAGCAAAGAGACAGAAGCCATTTTTGACAAACTCCTTCCTAACCAGTGAAGAGTTGTGACTCTTCAAACATTTATTCCTAGGCTTGTAGAAAGGACACTATTAAAAATCTTCATTTTTTTTTTCCTCAAGACCCTGCCACATCTTTTCCCAAATCTATACTGAATAATTTCTTCAGTACATATTTTCCAAACCATTCTTTTTATTTGCATTATGCTCTTTTTGTAGGCAGGTGCAACTTTAAGCAGCCATAATTCTAGTCTTAGGGGTAAAAAAAAAACCTTGAGACCAACACCACCCCCTGCCCCCTCCCCGTTCCCCCCCACCCGAAAGAAAGTAAAGATGTAGAAGGACTGTTTCCTACTACCCTTCTCCTAAAGAAAATACAGTCAGTAGCAGCCTAACATCAACAAACCAATATGCTCAGAATAAGTTTTGAGTATAAAATCTTACAGTTTTACTAACAAACTAACATGAAATTTAAGTTGCGTAGAGGTATTTTTTCCGGTCAAGTGGGAAACAGAGGACTTACTGTGAGTTAAAAACTCCTCTCTCCTCCCCAATGATAAAGCTTTCTCACTGTACTCTACAAAGAAAGCGTGCCTTATTATGAAGTTCCCCTCAACCCCCCTACTTCGAGTATCTCAATCATGGAACTCCCAAGAAAAATCCACCTCAATGTTCAAAGCACAAAATAAAACTCAAAGGAATGGAGTAGCTGAGAGGAGGAAAGGAATGAAAGAGCCTACAGTCCTTTCTTCTATTATCACAGGAAACTGTTATAGATTTGGAGAGATGTGAAGGTAGAGAATACTACCAGATTGGGGGATTAAAAAAAGACGTGGGAGGAAAGAGAAGTTAGGATGGTAGCCTTTATTAATTACTCATTTATTTTCCGATAGTTTCAAAGCATTTGGCGAAGACAAGGAATATGTTAGTTCACTAAATAAAAGGCAACGAGGTGACAGAAGGGCTGTATATTTTATCTTCAGCTCCATCCAAGCCCACCCAGTTACGCTTTTACACCTCTGTCCGACTCCCCCTAACTCTTAATCATTTTTCCCTTATGCTTTATGTTGTCGTTTGGTAGTTCAGATAAATGCGTTTTCTTTGCCGGAGGCAAGGGATAGTATTGATTTGCTTAACAGTACAGATGGAAAGCATTATCTTGAGGAGTAGCTGCTCCGTAACAGCACAGCTGGGGCTTTATCCATCGCGGCGACTGTCAGCCACCGCCGAGGCTCAGGAAGACCGAGGGAGGGTACGTCCCCAACGTCATCAGGCCTTTGTCTCCTTGCTCTTGGGGTACTGGCTTTGCAAAGTGACCCGATCAATTCCCATAAATAACATCACAGGTCTATCAAAAAACTCCTTTTGTAAAAGAAGATTTCTGTTTGGATACTTTTATACAGCAGTCATTTACGCAGCTGCGGCTCTGCTCTGCGACTGCATCTGCCTAAATCAGAAGGGAACCAAAATACATTTCATTTTAAGACTGGGGGAAAAACAGCTCTTTTGTAGGGCATTTTTCAACTTCAAGTCCACTCCTATGCCTAAATTAATGGCATGTGCTTTTGTTCTTAGAAAAAACCCTTTCGTTCTCTGACAGAGGAGGCACCTAACTCCAAGCCCCCTGCGATTGAAAAAGCCCCCAGGAAGATGCTGAAAGGTCTCGAGCGGCCTCATCAGCGCCTGAGGCCATCTCCCAATCGCGCGGCGGTACCCACGGCGGGCGCGGCCTCGGAGGGGGCGGCGGGGGCCCGCGGGAGGGCGCGGCGGACTTCGCGAACTGACGGCACGGAGGGGACAACTTTTGGGCGCTGGAGAGAAGAGGTGGGCCAGAGGCTACAGCGACGTCCAGGGCTCAGGGACACGCTCCGCGGGTCTCGACCGCCCGCGCGCCGGAGCCCCGGGTGCATTGTCCTCCCCGCCGGCCGCCGCGTCCTCCGCCCGCGCGGCCGGCCCGCGGGCAGCGCCACCCGCCCCGGGCGCCCACCGGGGGAGCGGGCTCCCGCCCAGGCCCCGAGCCCAAAGGAGGGCTGGGCCGGGGATGGCGGAGAGCGAGCCGCCGTCCACACTCGCACAGGTTGCCCAGCGCGGGCTCCGGACCGAGAGGTTCATAATCCTCGCGGGCATCTGCGCCCCTCGGCCCCCAGCCCCAACTCGCCTCCTCCGCCCCCGCAGCCGACCGTCTAGTCCGAGGAGCCCCTCCGACGCCCGCCCCAGCCCGGCGCCCAAAGCTTTGTTTTGGCCGCGACGCGAATCACGATCCCTGAGGAGGCGGCGCCGGGGCTGCTGGCGGTTCCCCAGCACAGGGGCAGGCGGAGGAGCGGGCAGCCGCGGCGGCACCTCCTCACTCCCCCCGCTCCCCGCGCCCCTCTCCCGCTCCCAGCCGGGAAGCCGCGCGCCGCGGCGCTCACCTCACCCCTCGCGGCCCGGCTCCAGGGGGCTGCCGCGCCAGCCGGGGACGGCCGCCGGTCCCTCAGGTGAGCCGAGCAGGCGAGAATCGCCGGCGCGCGCCTCGCAGCGACCGCGAGCTTTCGCGAGCGCTGGGGCGCGCGGCCCGGGGAGCGAGAGCGCGCGCGCGCGCACGCATCGCGCAGGCGCACTGCGCGCGCGCTCCCATTTTGAGCCCGGCTGCGGGGTGCTAGCTGGGCTTGCTTGGTTGTTCTCTGCCTCGCGCTGTGGGTGACGCCTTGCGCCCTCCTACCCGGCGGAGTGTGGAAGCGTTTTTCTTAATGCATTCAGCCCTCTTTGCAAACCTCTCCCTCCCTCCCCAGCTGAGACAGCGCAGCGACTCTCACCACCCGAGCCTGTGTTGCTATTAGTGCAAGACCGCTAAAACCTGTTCTGAGAGCTAGTATGCCTGCCTCGGGACCTGGGGATTGGAAGTGGTCAAGAGCGGGTTACAGAGTGCTGAGGGTGGCACTGGGTGTAGGTAGAGTAGGCAACTGGCCTGTTGCAGAGCTCCACGCTGAAACAACAGAGCAGACAGGCTACCGGCCCGGGGACAGTGTATATCCTCTTTGCCAAGACCTTAGTGAACAGGTGGAGCTTGTGGTTATCGTGGCATTCCCCATCTTTTGCTCCTTAGGAAATGTTTCCCCTCTCTTTCTCTGCATAAACTGTTTTAAGGCTGAAAGAGTTCTCCGAGATCATCTAAACTCAACCTCTCATTTTTCAGACGAGGATAAGAACGCCCAGAAAGATTAAATGACTTAGCAAAGCCACTCAGCGTTTTAATGACAGATTCATTCAAAGCCAAAGCTATTTTTTTTCAGTGCATTGTTTTGCCTCCCTTTCTTTCTCTTCCTTTTTGTCCCTCTTCAACCTAGACTTCACGGGCATCATTTTGTTCTGTTAGCACACAGGACTTAAAGTAATATTGGTCCTACTGCACAACAATGTGAATGTACTTAATACTACTCAACTGTACAATTAAAAAATGGTTAAGATGGTGAATTTTATGTTATGTGTATTTTACCAAGATTTTAAAAAATATAGTGTTAATATGTAACATTAAATAAATGTTAAATATGTAAATAAATATTGAGTATTGAGCTTGGACAGCCATAAATATAGTTTAACATCAGAAGGTTATCTACGGGGAAAAGCATAGTTAATGATATCTGAAGTGACAATTTTCAATGTTCTTAATGAATAAATACTTGTGTAGTAACATTTTTTTTAAAAAAACATAATGTTGATCCTTAGGCCTGATTCTAAGCAAGTCAGTGTGTCCTGTGGAGCCAACACAGCCACTACAGAGGGTGAATGAGGAGGCACGTAGCATATGTGAAAATCCGTGTTTGCCTGCGTTATGTATTTCCAGATCCCTTGTACCCACTAGACACATTTTTACGCAATTTACACACTGTCCTGTGAAAACTGTCAGGTATAGGACATATCATAGCTCACATGGGGAGGTGGGAATGGTGTAGGAATTATCACCAAATGTATCAACATGATTAAATCTCAGAAATATAACTTTGAATGAAAAAAGCAAACTACAAGATACGTAAGTTATACCTCTTTAAAAACTCCTACCCATATTGTTTATGAGGCCAAACATATATATATATATCAAAAACAAAAAATGGACACATAGGCTACACACCAGTTTCACCACAGTGGTTGCCTCTAGGCAGGCAGAGAGGGTAATGAGGTCTGGGAAGTGTACAAAAGGGGCTTTGGCTGCTAATTACACACAGGAGGCCAAAATGTTAATATTTTTAAAAATTTCGGTGCGGGTACAGAATGTTTCTAATGTAAATCTGTAAACTTTTCTTTATGTTTGAAATGTTTCATTTAAAAGTAATGTTTAAGTATCTCAGACATTGAGCGGGCGTGCTCACCGTGAAGACATTGTGAATGGTGTCATTCAGTCTTGGGGTGGGGGTGGGGATCAGTAGTCAGACTGATGAGGTGCCCGACAAGAGGAGGCCCAGAATGTGCTGGTTGAGAGGCTGGACGAAAGGAACCTTATTTTCATGCATAAAATTTTCAAATCCAACAGAGATAAAATACGAAGCTTTCTTTTATCCCATCTCTTTTATTCGGTGCTGTAACCACCAATATAGAAAGTCTTTAATGAGCGGGAACTTCACAGAGAGACACAGCACGGTGTTAAACCTGGTCTCCTTCTGGATGAACCCGTTTTGAAACATAAATGTTAACTGGTAATACATGGTAATTTAGTATTGCATCTACATACCTCCCCCAGGCCACCCCCCCACCCCCGTGCCCACACCAAAGGCTTTGTTTATTCATTTACACACAACCTGGTCATGTGGAAAACCACCAGGCTGAAATTCAGACAACCTAGGTTCTAATTTCAGTTTGGCCACTTACAGATCCTTTGTTAACTCAAAGAAAGCAGCTATCTCAGTGAGCTTCACTTTTCTTCTTTTTAAGTTGGGGATATACAAATGCTGCCTACTTTAAACCTGAAACACAATACTAACATAGGGTTTACATTTGTTTAAGCTGGAGGAGTGTATAGTCTTATCTATTTTAAGAAACATAAGATAGTGAGGAAAGTCTTCTATGTTGTCGTTGTCGCTGTTGCCATAAGAACTGCCTTATATTTACCAGGAAGCTCCGTATGGAATTTTGAATTTTTAGTTATTCTCCAGCACTTGTTTATAGTTCTATCACAGCAATTATCACTGTGGGCCTTACATTAGTTATTTACGCATTGAATTTTCCAGTCTTCCTCATCAGATTTCTCTTTTATCCTTGTATTCTCACTCCACCCCTTATTGCGTGGTGGGTGCTCAATAAATTTAATTAATACATTAGACTGCATTGTAAAATTTCCCAAATTTGGAGTTATTCTTATTAAGGCATGCCATCTGCTGGTTCCATAGTGTATCCGTCAGTCAGCCTGAATTCCTTAATCCAGTAAATTAAAACTCGTGTTGAAGCACTTGTGAGTTTGTGTGTTGGGCAATTTTCCCAGGTCTTTCTACTTCCTGTTGCAGGTCCTCTTCTTTCATTGAACCAGTCGCGAATTCTTTTTCCTCCAACCCTCTTTTACCTGTTGGCCACTCTTAAAACCTGGAAAAGTGGAGTTTGCATTTCGGAGCCCCGGAGTGACCAGAGCAATATAATTGGGCATGCTCAGTGGGTTGGCCTGGTTTGGAACATAAAGATGGCTTGAAACAGGGCTTTCAATGCTGCTTGTTTCGAGATTGGACGCGTCTTCGTCCTAGCATTATATTGGTAGTTTGCAGCCCCTCCCACCCTCTTGGCGCGCACATCTTTTTTCCTTTTATCCGTGTGCCCAATTTTGGAGCCAGCCCTCCTGGATCTCCTGGCCAATCAAGAGACCACACATTGTTGCCTAAGAGACCCCGGATGCCAGCGAAAGGATTTATGGATGGTGATTGGCCTACTGGAAGCTAGGAGAGGTGGGGGCTGGACAGAGTCAAAGAAAAAGCAACTATGACAACACCGGCGCTTGAGGCTTGAAGAGGAAGACGAGCTAAAAAAGGTGAGGACAGTGGGCAGTGCATGAAAAAGGTGGAGACTGTGTTTTGAGAGCTCCACTGTCAGATCCTCCTGAGCCTCACAAGCCTTGTCAGTGCTCCTGGGGATTACGTTTTGCTCCATTTCAGCTGCAGAGTGCCAGATGCTTCATACTTATGAAATTAGCAACCAACAAATAATTATTTCTATGCCTGTTAAGCACTAACTCTGTGTATTGTATTATAGTTTTTGCTTTGTTTCTAACTAGTTGACTATAAGATTAATTCATATTTATATCTAAGCATACCCTATTTCCTGATAATTTCCTGATAATCTCTAAGATTTCCTTCTCTGATGATACTGCAGTGTGCAATTGGTAAGTTGTGTGTTAGGAGAGAAACTCAATCCTATTCTGCTCTGTAAACTCCAAATAAAAATCTGATAATCCTGAGTGTAATCCTAGTACTCAATTCATAATGATCTGAGTTTCACTCTACATTTCCACTAGTTTTGATCCTTATACTGCGCCCCTCCACTGTTACATTCATTCATTCAGTTGATTTAACAAATATTTATTGAGCATTTGTTATGTGCTATGAGATTAAGATTCAGATGAGCAGCATCACAAAAGCACATAAGCAAAGAAACATCAGAATTTTGTACCATTTTCTGTTGAGTGATCGGAAGTTCAGTGTGTCTGGGCAGATAGTGCATGAAGGGACAGATGGATGAGGCTGAAAAGGTCGATTGAGGTAATTTCATAGTGGATCTAGGCTTGCAGGCTAAGGAGTCTAGATATTTTGTGGCCGTTACTGAGCCTCTGAAGTTTTGTGAGCTTAAAAGTAACACGATCAAATGGTCTTTTAAAAAGCACCTCCCTAAATAGAATGGTGGTTACCAGAGGCTGGGCAGTGGGGGGAAAGGAGAGGTATTAATCAAAGGGTACAAACTTTCAGTCATAAGATAAATAAGTTCTGGAGACCTGATGTACAGCATGGTAACTATAGTTAATAGTAATATATTGTACACTTGAAATTTGCTAAGAGAGTAGATCTCAAGTGTTCTCACCACACACACAAAAGTGGTACCCATGGGAGGAGATGAGTATGTTAAATAGTTTATGGTAATCATTTCACAGTGTATACATATATCAAAACACGTTGTACACCTTAAAAATATACACTTTATTTGTAAAAAAAAAAAAAAAGAAAGAAAAAACCCAACTCCCTAACAGTAGACTGTAAACTCCATTAAAGCAGACTCTTGTCTTTGTACCCTAACGCAGGCCTGGTAGGTCCTTAGTAAAGTTGAATAATGGTGACAGTGTAAAGAACGGCTTGGAAGATAGGATTGGAGGTAGTGGCCTTCCACTAGGAGGTGGAATTTTAGCAGAGGACCCATGCTTGCTGTTGAACATGGAACTAGAACCATACATTGGGGGCTAGGACTGTAGGCCCCCTTTCTGCCTTTTTATCCAAAGAAAAATTAAAGATGAACATTCAAGGACAGCCGTTAAGGGGGAAAGAGGTCACAAAAAAGCAACAGCAAGCTTTATATGTGAAAGGAGGGGAAGACAGAAGCTTTGTCTCATTGATGGAGTGGGGACAATTATTTTTTGTGTGTGTTGTATAGAAGTGTCTGTCTTTGGAATAGTCCTGAGTGGTCTATACCATGAACATGTGTGTGCATGCAGATGTGCACACTTCCCATCTTCCGGAATGGAGGAAGGAGGAAAAAGTTGAAAAAAGGTAATGATGAAAAACAGGGCAGGACATCTCCATTTGCATGTTTCAGCAGGACTGTGTTACCAGGAGAGCTGTTTCTCCTGGCCAGAACCATCCCCTAGAAAACCAAACTTTCCTCAAGTAATTTTGAAGAAAGCCTAATTCAAATAATTTCTACCTCTAAGGAACCAGGAAAAACAACCAGTGCAGGGCCTTGGGGAGACCCTAGAAAAGCTACTTCACCCAATTTAAAAACTGTAAGAGCTGTCCCGGTGGCGTAGCGGTTAAGTTCACGCACTCTGCTTGGGTGGCCCAGGGTACACTGGTTTGGATCCTGGACAGGGACCTATGCACCACTCATCAAGCCATACTGTGGTGGCGTGCCACATACAAAATAGAGGAAGATTGGCACAGATGTTAGCTCAGAGCTAATCTTCCTCAAAAAAAAAAAGTGCCTACCTTGTTTCTTATACAAACTGAGCAGAGAGAAAGACAGAGTTTCTCAACTTACAGCAGGAGTTTTTACCCAGGGTGAGCAAAATTTTATGTTCATGTGCATTTTTCTACGGAGAAGATTCATAACTTTCATCATATTCTCAGAGTTTTATGGCCCTCAAAAAAAAAGATTAAAAACAACTAGTTTAAAGAGAAGAAACGTCAAATGTAAATAAATAGCAAAAAAAAGAGAAATATGTAATGTTTAGCTTGGCAGATCTAGACTCAGTGACCATGCTTTGTATCTGTAATTTGCCTGCTCACAGGTACTTTCATAACTGCCAATTAATAATACTGTAATGAGGGACCAGCCTGCTAGCTTAGTGGTTAAGTCCATGTGCTCAGCTTTGGCGGCCCAGGGTTCACCAGCCCAGATCCTGGGTGCAGACCAAGCACTGCTTGTCAAGCCACGCTGTGGAGGCATTCCACATAAAATAGAGGAAGATTGGCACAGATGTTAGCTCAGCAACAATCTTTCTCAAGCAAAAAGAGGAAGATTGACAACAGATGTTAGCTCAGGGCCAATCTTCGTCACACACAAAAATATTAATAATTGTACTGTAATGAAATCATTTCTTATACCTTTTTCAGCTTAGCTAAACGTGTGACTTAGATAATTAGCTGTTAGGGGCTGAGAAGAATGTGAGGGCCAATCTAAGCTCTCTTTATTCTAGTGGTAAGGTGGCAGCAGGCAACTGCAAGAAGGTATTGTCTGACGATGCCCCTGAGCTTTTAAAACATTGGCTTTATCTTCAGCTATAACTTAAACCTGAGAGAGAATATTACATGTCAAGTGAGACCCCAAATATTTGAGAGCTAGCATGTGAGCGAATCCCCTATCAGCCAAAAACTAATGATTTTTTTAAAAAAATGGTCCAATATTTGCTGCTGCAGAATACTTTTTGGAGCTTTAAATGTTTTCCACCTTAAAGTGTTTTGCTGTGGCCCTCTAAAGGACAAGTTTTTGTTGTTGTTTTGTTTTGCTTTTTTTTGTGAGGAAGATTAGCCCTGAGCTAACATATGTGCCAGTCTTCCTCTATTTCGTATGTGGGATGCCTCCACAGCATGGCTGACAAGTGGAGTTGGTCCGTGCCTGGGATCTGAACCCATGAACCTGGCCAACCAAAGCGGAGCGTGCAGAACTTTAAGCACTTGGCCAGGGGGCGGTCCCAATAAAGGACAAGTTTTTTTGTGTTTTTTTTTTAAAGATTGGCACCTGAGCTAACAACTGTTGCCAATCTTCCTCCTTTTTTTTTCTTCTCCCCAAAGCCCCCCAGAACATAGTTGTATATTTCAGTTGTGAGTGCCTCTAGTTGTGGCATGTGGGACACTGCCTCAGCATGGCTTGATGAGTGGTGCCACGTCCGTGCCCAGGATCTGAACTGGCGAAACCCTGGGCTGCTGAAGCAGAGCAGGCGAACTTAACCACTTGGCCATGTGGCTGGCCCCCAGGACAAGTTTTGAGGCACTCTGTAAATGATAGGAAGTTCCAAGAAAAGCTGCAGGAAAATTATTTTTTATTGAGGGCACCTATCTCTCGGGCATTTGGGACCCTTTTCCTCTAATCTTCACAACAGTAGTTGAGGGTAGATCTATGCATCCTTATTTTACAAATGAGGCAACTGAAGCTCAGATAGATTAAATAACTTGTGAAAAGTTATGCGGCTAGTAAGTTTTAGAGCCAGGATCAAAGCTGTATAAGATAAAAAAATTTTGGTTGTAAACAACAGAAATAGATTCTGGCTAATGTAAGCAAAAGAGGAAATTTATTGCAAGGATATCAGGTGGCTCACAAAATGGACAAGAAAGGACAAGGGGCATTTGAGGGATGAGGCAGCAGGAGCAACTTGACAGAGCACCAGTGCTACTGTGAGTGACCACCTCAGCTGTAAAGTAAGGATGAGCCAACATCAGTCCAACTGGCCTAGCTTGGCCTTACAACCACCTCTTGGCCAGGAAAGGGAAGGCCACCTTGATAAGCCAACCCAGCAGACTCCAAACAATGAGGAAAAAGTAATTCCTCATGGAAATTAAGTGCTTTAATCAAAGGAAGGCAGACATATACTGGGCATCTAAAAACAGCCCATTTTCTTCAATAAACCCAATCTATCCATCTCCAAAGACTTGGCTTTGTCCATTACACCATTCTACTTCTTAAATATGGTATCATGTCAGAACCCTTGTCATTTAGATGTCAGAAAGTTAAGAGGGGAGGAAGAAAGTCACAAGGGACAAGGATGGAGTATTTTATATTGCACCATGATTTTATAAATTAAAATATTTCTTTCTGGTCAATATGGTATATTCTTTGCTAGGAGTGATTCTGGATTTTCCTCTGTGGGCCAATGAAAATAAAATAGAGTTAAACAGACCTGGATCTGATTCTGAGTTCCACCACTTACTGTCTGTGTGATCTTGGGCAAGTCGTGTAACTTCAATGAGACTCATTTTCTTCATGTATAATGAGCTTAAACCCACCGCCTCACCAGATTGTTACAAGCTTTAATTGAGCATATGTATGAAGAGCCTGACATATAAAATACTCTCAGTAAATGTTCTTTCTCCCAATTCCCTCTCTCAACATACTAAAAGATTATAGTATTAGTACTTTTAGTATTCTGAAGATTATATGCTTCTTTTCTTCTGATAGGTGAAGTTTTTCTTGTGGAAGAATATCCAGTTATTTCATGATGGCATTTGCACCTCCAAAAAGCATAGATGGTCCCAAAATGCAGACAAAGATGAGTACCTGGACACCTCTAAACCATCAGCATTTGAATGACCAGGTAAGTGATTAGAGCTATTTTATCAGTTGTATCCGTGCCTTAAAGAAAAAATGTGTTAAAATTTTGGGTTATCAAAATATGAACAGGAATTATTTAGGATTGTGTAATGGATGAAAAAAAAGAAGGATTTTTCCCAAAAACTTATATTGAGCTCTTGCTATATGGGCAAGGCTGGCGATAGACGGACTCCCTGACTGTGATGAAAATGTCTTAGATTTGTTCTTTCTACCACTGTCACTCCTCCTCTCTCTCACTCCAAATGCCTTTTTTCTTCCAACACTGGTGCTCTGCTGGAACCACCAGGATTGATAAAGGAGAGGATAGTCCATGAGGAGTTCCCAAACAACAGATTTTCTTGCTAGAGCTATGCTTACTGGATAATGCTGCATATTTAACCAAATAAATAAAATGAATAAATCGCAACCAAGCACTCACATTACTCAGGTTCTCCTAAGAAGTTTATTTCCTGCTTGCATTCTGGGGAGGCATTATTAGAATACAGTAAACAAAGGCTTGCAGGAGTGGGAAGCTTACTATCGTACTGGGGTATGAGATTGGCCAACCTCTGGGGATTTCTATCCCTGCTTCAGTTAGGGGCAGAATTTACCAACAGATCTGTGAGCATCTATTACAAGGACCACAAATAGTTGGCAGTAAAGTACAATCAAAATCAATAAAACTGACCTCATTATCTTGCTTCTACACACTAGTTCCTCTCCCTGGTGAAAGGCACCACTTTACATTCAAGTCACTCAAGCGAGAAATCTTCCTTCTCCCTGTCAGGTCTGGGATTTGGTTTTCCCCAATTTACAAGCTAATAGCTTAGCCTGTTACTTATGGCCGAAGACACTACTGTTTCACAGTAAAAGACACAAGGTTCTTGGGTCAGAGACAAAGAACTTTATGACTCACAGTGCAGCAAGCAGCATGAGCTTCATGTTTGCATTGGTTCTCCTTGCCCACCTTGTCCCACAGGAGTGATGCAGAGGGCCCAAATAAATATTATACACACCATGGGTTTGCATCACAGCTGATGAACAATGAGCCCAAGGAATCCACTGCTTTTACTGTAAGCAGTAAGCAAGCCTACCCTCAGTCCCTAATGAGGCCGTACCTCATTGCTCAAGGTTGCTTTGCTGTAAACACAACTTGGAGAGACAGCCCAAGAAAATAGTCAGGGCCTTGCATTCTTATTATTCCAAGACATTTAGGAGTATGAGAGGCCCAAGGAGGAGTGTCTACCAGCAGCCCTTCACCTCCACATCCATTTCATTTGCAGGTTCTAGGCTTCTTCTTCCTAGATCTCTTCATCTGGGCCCCTTTTCTCCATTCACCTACATAGCTCCACATTCTCAGTTATACACTCATCATCCTTTGCCTGGTACATTGCAGTCACCCCCTGACTGGTTTCACTGCTTCTATCCCTACCAGTCCATCCTCTATTCGGGTCCCAGAATGATCTTTCTAAAATACCAGTCTAGTCCTGTTATATAACATAGGCCCCACTCCAAAGGGTAAATTTCAAACTCCCACCTGTGGAATTGAAGACCCTTCATGAGTTGACCTCAGCCAACCTCCCAGTTCCAACCCCTGCTACTGCTTCCTCTCCTATCTGGGCCAAGCTCAGTGGCCCCCATATAAGCCGTCTTCTCTCCCATCTCCACGCCTTTGCACGTGCTCTCCTCATTGCCTCCTATAAGAGTCAACTCCAATGTCATTTTCTCTGGGAAGCCTCCTCCTGCTTGCTTTTCTTTTCTCTCATCACTGTTTACCAATTTTCCCACTAGACTGTGATCTGCTAAGAGTTGAGATTCTGTCTTCTCTCTGCATCTCCAGTGCCTGATATGATTTCCGAAGAACAAGGAATGGAGTCAGAGTTCAGCTGTACTCTCTGGACCCCCTTTGTTGACTCTCACCTTCTTGTCCCTACGTCTCTCCTCTCTTAGCCTGGATTGACCTTTTCCTCTCTGAACCTAACAGATACGCTAATCACTCTGGCAAAGCTGGAGTATCAATCCTGACCCCTCCTTCTCTGTACGTTCCTATTTCTACTCTTCTGTTGTGAAACATGAGCAATTCTGGGAGAGACAGAGGAGCCAGCATAGCGATCAGAATAGTGAGAAATAAAAGGGAGAGAGACTGAAAAAGGAAAAAAGTAAAGGAAGTGAGAAAAGAAGAGTGAGAAATAGAAAAAGAAAGGAGGGACCAGGAGATAAAAAAGGAAAGGCAGAGAAAGAGAGAAATCCAACCTTCATCTATCTGTGAGCAACAGTCTATTGAAAATCTTTCTTATTCAGCTCAACAATTATTTATTGAGCACCTGTTTGCAATGCTCTTAGCTCTCCAACAGTTTATGTAACAGCTTCCCTACTTTGCCCCCAAAAAACTTCAGTGTTTATTTTTGAAATCTGTTTTCCCATAGAATTGTGAAGGTTTTATGCACGTGTGAAAAAGTGACTTGAATTGAAATACATATTCGTTGGATGCTTTGATTTTCAGAAATTTTCTTTGAAAAATTAGGAGTCTTGATTGACTTAGCATCTAAGGAGAAAAAGTATCAGAATTGACTGAATGCCTGCTGCAGGTTGGGTTACTAGAGGAGCAGACTCAGATTGGCGTGTAGGGCATTGACTGGGAGGGCTCTCGGGATCAGCACCTGGGAAGGAGAGGGAAAGGAAGGGAAGGATGGGACGTAGGTTTGGGGCAGAGGATGAAGCTGTGTTCTGGTGCAGTCTCAACAAGGCCTCCTCAGACCCCATGGCACATCCTGAAGATCCTTCGGAGTCTTACAATGCATCAAGGGGCCCGGCCTTTTTACTGGCACACTGACCACTCACTGGATAGGACCTTGGACAAGGCGGATCTCTCAAGCTTGTGGATGTTAGCTAGCAGCACTCCCAACAGGGGGGCGAATAAATCCTTCAGTCCTGGAGGGAGCTGGGCAGTGTATCACAGCAAGCATTACATTGTCTTATCTTGGTTCTTGAATAGCTTTTATCAAATTGAATCATAATTGCTAGAGATAACATTTATTTTGTTGTTCAGACCTCTCATTTTATTCCAAAAAATTGTTTTTTGGTTTAGTTAGGTTCTCGTTTGGAGTAAAATTATTTTTTAAAATCTTTGCATGTGTACATACGCATATGTATATGTATAAATGTACATAGATACACACATAGAATTTGTATATGCATATACCAAACTATTAATAGTGGCTTCCCCTAAAGAGTTAGATGGATTTGGGGGAGGTGATCCTGTTAGAAAAGAGCTTTCATTTTTTGCTATACATAGTGCAATAAAATTTCAAATTTTAAAACAATTTTTAAAACAAATATAAATAAAAGTAAACAAAGAACAATAACTTTAGAAATTGAAAATAATTCTGGTTCCAGATCAGCTGTTCCAATAATTTCCTGCATGACTTGAATAAGTCACTTACCTTCTCTGGGCTTTACTGTCCTCCTTTATAAAATGAGTGGGTTGGGTCAGATGACCTTGAAGCTTCCTTCCAGATACCATTCTGACTGTGTGAAAGGGATTAAAAACAGATGCCAAGGATACAGCTGGCCAGAAGGTGTCCATACAATAATTTTAAGGGGTTTTCTACACTTCTGAAACAGGGCATTTGTCACCAATGATCAGCATAATTTTGAGGTCCTATGAGTTTTTTTGTCTTAATTTTGTCTTTCTTCTATTCTGTAGTAAAATGTGAAATATGTAAATACTTCAGACTAAAATAAAAGTCACAGAATTTTAACTTCACAGCAGGCTTTAAGCAGAGAGATTGAATTCAAATTCAGATGCCTAAAAAATAGCATCATAGCATAAGCAAATTTAACAGATTTCAAATAATTCAGGCAATGTGAATCTTGAGAGGAAGAATGTTTTAAGAGTATGTATTTCTTTGCTATCTAGTGTTTTAATTGAAAGTAACCAACATTTCTTTTTCGAGTATGTTCACAGATGTAGAAAAGTACATGTTAAAAAGGTGTTCTGAGAAAAAGCACCTATCAATCAATCATAATTTAGGAGCCCCTAAATGTCTTACTTCTACACTGTAATGATGTCACACGTTGAAATATGTAACTGCGGTGTCAACAGACTAAAATAACAAACATAGGATTTTGACTTAACAGCAGGCTCTGAGTAAACTGTGATATAAACAGACTGCAGCATTCTGCAAAGAAAGAGGATTCATTTTAATATTTCCATTTTGAATCAATACTTTGTTTTCCAGCTCTTTAAGATGAAGAACTTGATTGCAAATCTTTGGAATGAAGACTTGCTCCAAACCAGAGAATATAAAATGCTAAGTCTGACTGAGGACCTGACAATTAAATAATTTGTCTCAAATTATCTTTCTTATCAAGGGTAGAGTTGGAACTAGATCTGAGTTTGTCTAGTGTTTCTCGTCTCCCTCTTCACTCCCAGCAGTTTCTACTTGGGTCTAGATGCCTTTTGGTAAAGAACTGAATTTGCCTGGTCACTGCTTAGACTTGGTCATTGGCTCTGTGAAGACTGTTGTTTTAGCCTGAATAACATCCCACCCTATTCCTTTTCTGCTATCTTCCTGCTGACTCTCCTCTCTCCTTCAATTCAGTGCCCCTTTGTTTCCAATGCCCCGTATTGTCATTGGACACCATGGTGGTCATCCCAACCTCCTTTTCAAAGGAGGTTGTGGTTTTGAGGCCTACCCTTTACTTCTTCCCACTGTAAGGCCAAAGTATGGGCAGCAGTTCGTTGAGAATGTAGGGCTGGAAGTCAGGATAGGGAAGACCAAGGTTCTAGTGAGAAAGCAAGCTTGGGGTTGAGCTGAATAGACAGCCTGGAACCAGTGATTTTTTAAAAATGTATAAATGTGATCCCTTTGGCCCTCTGTTTGTTTGTCCGTCCTCTCTGAAATAAGGAAATTGAACAAAAAGGTCTTTAGGATTTCTTTTAGCTCTAAAATTCTTTGACTTTTGAAGCTTTTTGTTCTTGTTGTTCACTTGGCAAGTGTTTCTTGAGGGCCTGCCATGGAACCTGTGGAGCATCTAGGGAAGGTGGTTGTAATCCACATGAGAAGATAAAATGAACAGACACAACCAGAGAGCCATAGCACACGCTGTCTAGTCCAAGGGGAGTGTGGGCTGTAAGTGGAATACAAGTTGGGAGCTAGATCCCTGGGCATCAGAAGTGCTGGTGCTGGTGACTTGGGTTGGGTGATAGATGATTGATAGGATTTGGTTAGACAGAGGAGAAGACGTCAGGAAATATTTGAATCCAGATTTTTGAATCTTCTGTATTCTATAGGCTCTCTTCTATTTTCATCTCGAAATTCTGAGTTTATCTGTTCAGGGTCCTAGTAGCTCAGGTGGCAGTTGATTAGGGGGAGGAGGAGAAGGGCATTGTTTTTCTTCTTCCCTAATGTGTAAAAAGATTCTCTGTGATGTATGAGATTCTCCGGCCGGGAGCAAAACTGACCTTTCACTGGCCTTGAGATTGTTGTCAAAGCAGTTATTTCAATGCCTATTTTGTGTGCCCCTTGAAACTAGTGTTCGAGCGTCTAAAAAAGGAAGGAAAGCATTATCTGTTAGAAGCGTAAAACCAGCTTCTCATCCTCCTCCACAAAAAGGGAAGAAATAGGCCTGAGCTGCTTTCCAAATAGGAACGTTCTTACAGTGCTAGAGAATTTAGAGGAAGGGAAAAACATGATCCCAATTTTGAAAACCGACAGAGGGTGTGTGTGTGTGGGAGTGAGAGAGACATTCACATCTGTTCATTCCTCTCTCTTGCTTCCTCTCTCCATAACTCCCTCCTCTGCCAATATTCCCAAATTAGTCTTCCCTGCCTCAATTATTCAAATGCACACGTGACTGATGCTCGGAAAAACACTTCCACGCCAATATATAAATACACTCACATTGTGCTGATACCTCCATAAGGAGGTTCATTGTCACAACCACATCCATTCAATCCAGCAAACGTGAGTACCTGTAATATGCTATGTACAGCACTCCACACTGGAGCTGAGATGAATAAGACATGGTTTCTGTCCTAAATAGTATATAACAATAAACCTATACAGACAACACTGAGTTGTAAGCCCAGAGGTGGACATATACAAATTTCTAATTCTACAAATGTATAAGCATATGCTTACCCACTTATGTGTGTACACACTGAAATATAAAAACAGAGCTTCTCCTTCATAAATTTCACAAGTTCTCATACTATTGATATTGAAATATGTGGGGGGAAGATCTCCATTTTCCTGGTTTTACTTTGTCATTTTTTTCATCTCCTTTCAAATGCTAAAATTGATTTCACTTTTCAGTTCCATTCTTTTCTTATTTTCTTGCCTTAAAAAAATTTACTTCTTTAAGATGAACTCTTGGAGAAGCTGAGAAAAAAGATACCTTGCCCAAGTTAAAAATAAGTAAAGTGCCTTCTCAGGAATGAAATCTCTCTTTTTATACTCACTGGACACAATGAAAAGACTGTCAGTATTTATTTATTGATACTTTATGTCTTTCTTGTAATGGGTATTTTGTACCATGAAATATGAAATCATTCTATTCTTTTTTAATTTATTGTAGGTATTTGAAGAAAGAAGAGCTCTGCTTGGAAAATGGGTAACCATTTAAAATATAGTTACTTCTATATTATGTTATGTTATTATACAGCCCAAAGAATTCAGTTTGGACATAAGGTAATGAGTGATTGGTCATTGCCTGAGGAATTTGACTGGTACTTTCTGTATATATCAGTTAGGGTTCAGTCAGGAAAACAGAAACCATACCAGTTATTTTTTCAGACATAATTAAATTGAATAAGTAGCGCTAGTTAAACAAATATTGGAAAATGGAAACAACAAAAAGGGAACACTAAGGTGCCGTGGAGACAGAACTGCAGGAAGAAGCTTTACCAGCTTTACTGATGCCTCAGGAGCTCAGAGAAAGGACCCTGTGGAGCTGGGACCCAGCCCTCTAGGGGACCCGGACTTCTAGGGAATAAAGTAGATGACACCACAGCCAGCTGATTCTGATATAACTGAGGAAGCGTGATGGTTCTGGGAGTGTGGGGAAGATTGGACACTGGAATCAACAGCTACCACCAGGGCAAAGAGTTAGGGTGATACTGCCAGGAAAAGCAAGGAAACGGAAAGGAGTAGGGCTCTTCTCCCTCAGTTTCCCTCTAGTGCTGCCCTCCCCTTTGGCAGCACTTAACAGGGAGCCCACTGTCAAAGGAGAAATATGGTTTATGGAGCCTTAGCCTTCTTTACTCACAAAGTAGTGTGTAGGTGAGTTGGGATCTGAGAGAAAGGAGCTTGGTAACCAGCACAGTTCATCCATTTGGCTACTTAGCATCCATATACACCGTTGTACATATACTTAAACTTCCAAAGGAAAATTAACAACTTTATGCTTTTACCTAACAAGATACAACTATCCTTTATGCAAATGAAGACTTTCTCACCTTTTCCTCAAAGGAGACACGGAGTCCCAGTGGTCATTGTCCATCCCTGGGTCATGATCAAAGTGTCCATCTCTGGGCAGTGTTCATTGAATTGCTTTACCCTCCCACCTAAAACTCTCTACTGCCCAAGAGAATTTAAAACATATGGTTATGCAAAAACTTGTGCATGAATTTTCATAGCAGCATTATTCATAATAGTCGAAAAGTGTAGAGACCCAAATATCCAGCAACTCATGAAAGGATAAACAAAATGTGATATATCTATAAGAATGGGGATATTATTCAACTTTAAAAAGGAAGGAAATTCTGATATGTTTTACAACATGGATGAACTTTGAAGGCATTATGCTAAGTGAAATAAGCCAGACAAAACAGGACAAATATTATATGTTTCCACATATATGAGGTACCTAGAGTAGTCAGATTCATAGAGGTAGAAAGTAGAATAGAGGTTACCAAGGAATGGGGAATTATTGTTTAAGGGGTGCAGAGTTTCACTTGGGGATGATGAGAGAGTTCTGCAGATGGGTAGTGGTGATGGTTGCACTACAATGTGAATGTACTTAATGCCACTGAACTGGACACTTAAAAATGGTTAACATAGTAAGTTTTCTGTTATATATATTTTACCAAAACTTTTAAAAAGCAGGGGTAAGAAAAAGGAATAAAATACTGATACATGCTACAGCGTGAATGAACCTTGAAAATAATGTCCTAAGTGAAAGAAACCAGACATAGAGTCCACATGTTATATGATTCCATTTGTATGAAATGTCCAGAATAGGTAAATCCATAGAGACAGAAAATAAATTAGTGGTTTCCACGGCCTAGGGGACAGGAGGAAGATGAATTGACTGCAATGGGTACAAAATTTGTTTCTGGAGTAATGAAAATGTTCTGGAATTAGTAGTGATGATTATACAACCTTGTGAATATGCTAAAAGCCACTGACTTGTACACTTAAAATGATTAATTTTATGGCCTGTGAGTTATATCTCAATTTAAAAAGTAAATCGGGAATCCTTTTTAAAAACTATACTTGGATTTCTTTAACTCTTGATATATGTAACAAACTTGAAATATTCCATCTTTAAAGCTTACAGTCAAAGGCTTCTTTCTAAAGGGAGCATCTTTGACCTGGAATGTAACAGTAGGCAGAATGCCCTTTCCTATGAGTTACTGAAACTCATTTTCCTAAATGTCTTCGTCCATCAGGCTGCTATAACGAACAACCTAAAAAGACTAGGTGGCTTATAAATGACAGGAATTTATTTCTTCTAATTCTAGAAGTCCAAGATCAGGGTGCTGGCAGACTCAGTGTCTGGTGAGATCTCGCCTTCTGGTTCATAGACTGCTGTCTGTTGGCTATAACCACACATGGCAGGAGGGTGAGGGATCTCTCTGGGGTCTCTTTTATATAGATGCTATACCATCACCTTGGGGATTAGGTTTCAACATATGAATTTGGGGGACGCAAACATTCAGTCCATGCACTGAGACTAACACAAAGTACTATTTCTTACTGCTCTTGTTGGTCTCAGTTGGTCACCAGTTCTTTTCTGTGTGGTCTACAAGCTCCAGTCTGAGGCTATTTATTAACCTAAATTTTTAAAAAATCGTATATATGGTATCTCTGGAAGGATTCACAAGAAAGGGGGCAACATGGTTTCCTCTGGGGAGGAGAACCGTGAGTCTGAGACGGTGCAAAAGAGTCTTTCAGCTGAATAGACTTTCGTATCTTTGGTTTTTTTTAATCATGTGAATGTATTACCTATTCAAAATAATAATAAAATTTTACAAAATAAGTTTACTAAAAATTAAGAAGTGAAAAATACCAAAAACTTTAAATGTAGCTGAGTTTTTCTCATATTCTATTTATACTTTTAAACTGACTTTGCATCTGTTACCAATAACTTAAAAAGAGACTTATTCAGAATGACTATTTTTGCACCATCACTTCACTTACTATTAGTGGAAATCCCTGAGTTAATGTAACCAGGGCTAATGTTCACCCACTGTTTGGAGTGTCTGACCAGCTTCTGTCTATTTTGATTGCTTGGTGGCATTGCTAATTATTAAATATTTTTATTTAATAAACCCTGGATAAAATTCAAGGTCTTCAAACTTTTTTAAAGATCTTGTTTATTCTTTTCTTTTTTTTTTTTATTAATGTTATGATAGATTACAACCTTGTGAGATTTCAGTTGTACATTTTTGTTAGTCATGTTGTGGGTACACCACTTCCCCCTCTATGCCCTCCCCCCACCCCCCCTTTCCCCTGGTAACCACCGATCAGATCTCCTTATCAGTATACTAATTTCCACCTATGAGTGGAGTCATATAGAGTTCGTCTTTCTCTGACTGGCTTATTTCGCTTAACATAATACCCTCGAGGTCCATCCACGTTGTTGTGAATGGGCCAATTTTGTCTTTTTTTATGGCTGAGTAGTATTCCATTGTGTATATATACCACATCTTCTTTATGCAATCATCAGTTTCTGGGCATGTAGTCTGGTTCCACGTCTTGGCTATTGTAAATAATGCTGCAATGAACATAGGGGTGCAACGGACTCTTGAGATTTCTGATATCAGGTTCTTAGGATAGATACCCAGTAATGGGATGGCTGGGAAATAGGGTATTTCTATTTTTAACTTTTTGAGAAATCTCCATACTGTTTTCCATAGTGGCTGTGCCAGTTTGCATTCCCACCAACAGTGTATGAGGGTTCCTTTTTCTCCACAACCTCTCCAACATTTGTCACTCTTGGTTTTGGATGTTTTTGCCAATCTAACGGGTGTAAGGTGATATCTTAGTGTAGTTTTGATTTGCATTTCCCTGATGATTAGCGATGATGAACATCTTTTCATGTGTCTATTGGCCATATTCATATCTTCTTTTGAGAAATGTCTGTTCATGTCCTCTGCCCATTTTTTGATCGGGTTGTTTGTTTTTTTGTTGTTAAGCCGTGTGAGTTCTTTGTATATTATGGAGATTAACCCTTTGTCGGATAAGTGACTTGTAAATATTTTTTCCCAATTAGTGAGCTGTTTTTTTGTTTCAATCCTGTTTTCCCTTGCCTTGAAGAAGCTCTTTAGTCTGATGAAGTCCCATTTGTTTATTCTTTCTATTGTTTCCCTCAACTGAGGAGTTACAGTGTCCGAAAAGATTCTTTTGAAACTGATGTCAAAGAGTGTACTGCCTATATTCTCTTCCAAAAGACTTATTGTCTCAGGCCTAATCTTTAGGTCTTTGATCCATTTTGAGTTTATTTTGGTGTGTGGTGAAAAAGATGGTCAATTTTCAATCTTTTGCATGTGGCTGTCCAGTTTTCCCAGCACCATTTGTTGAAGAGACTTTCTTTTCTCCATTGTAGGCCCTCTGCTCCTTTGTCGAAGATTAGCTGTCCATAGATGTGTGGTTTTATCTCTGGGCTTTCAATTCTGTTCCATTGATCGTGGACCTGTTTTTGTACCAGTACCATGCTGTTTTGATCACTGTAGCTTTGTAGTATGTTTTGAAATCGGGGATTGTGATTCCGCCGGCTTTGTTTTTCTTGCTCAGGATTGCTTTAGCAATTCGGGTCTTTTGTTGCCCCATATGAATTTTAGGATTGTTTGTTCAATTTCTGTGAAGAATGTTCTTGGGATTCTGATTGGGATAGCATTGAATCTGTATATTGCTTTAGGTAGTATGGACATTTTAACTATGTTTATTCTTCCAATCCATGTGCAAGGAATGTCTTTCCATCTCTTTATGTCATCGCAATTTCTTTCAAGAAAGTCTTGTAGTTTTCATTGTATAGATCCTTCACTTCCTTGGTTAAGTTTATCCCAAGGTATTTTATTCTTTTCGTTGCGATTGTGAATGGGATTGAGTTCTTGAGTTCTTTTTCTGTTAGTTCATTGTTAGTGTATAGAAATGCTACTGATTTATGCACGTTAATTTTATACCCTGCTACTTTGCTGTAGTTGTTGATTATTTCTAATAGTTTTTCTATGGATTCTTTGGGGTTTTCTATATATAAGATCATGTCGTCTGCAAACAACGAGAGTTTTACTTCTTCGTTACCTATTTGGATTCCTTTTATTTCTTTTTCCTGCCGAATTGCTCTGGCCAGCACCTCCAGTACTATGTTGAATAGGAGTGGTGAAAGTG